CCCTGGACTGAACAAATAGATAATTCCTTTTTACTCCAGGTTGAGGGATGCATAAATGTACATTTGTGATTATATAGGGAAAAAAGTCAAGAGCAAAGATTTTGTAATGTTGCCCAGATGAGTCTCTCATTAAGAAAATGCATCTAACGTTTATCCCTATATCAAACAGAGATTAAGAGCCAAATTTTGGTCCTTCCACACACAATTACAAATTTCGGAGTGTAAAATCTAATCGCTGAGTATACTCAGTGAGGCTGAAGAGAAGAAAGGGCTCTGCAACAGCCAGCAGTGTGCGTGCCCTGACATTTTGACCTGAAATTCTTTGCCACCCCTTTGCTCTGGGAGGCCACCCCTAAGTGGTCCTAGCCACTGCCCTGGAAAGTGGTGGGGTGAAGAGCACCCTGCTCTGAACCCAGCAGTTCTCCAGAGGCACACGGCAATGCCCTGGGGAAGGCATCTGCTCCGACCAACTGTTTCATGCCCTCGGTAACTCACCAAACACTAAATATTTGGCTTTTGAAAGCAGGAGGACATGCTTGTGATTCCAATGGCTGGCAGCAGGTCCAGCATGGTCAGGGCTTGCTATTGGTGTGAGCTGCACTCAGAAGTTAGCTCTAATTTAAACAAAGTAGAACTGCCTCTGGGGCATTCATTGGGAGGGAAATGGAGGTGGTATGAGTTTGTAAGAGACTGTGCTGGCCCCCATGCTAGTTAAGCTTCCCATCACTCTGGGTCCCTCTGAAGTCAGCAGGTTTATGGTAAGGATGGGTTAGATATTTCTCCTGCTGCTGTTTGCTTTATCCAGGTACTCTCAAGCCTGGATTCAACGTCTTCTTTGGGTCAGAAGAACTTCTGGGAGGGCTTTGCAGCACTAGATATAACTGTAAATTATCTCTGAGGCTGAGAAGCCACACAGCTATATCCAGGGCTCCTCGGACTAAGAATGCTGCTGTCTTAGCTGGAATTTGGGTGCAAATAGCAAAAAAAAAAAAAGTCCACATTATCTGGACAATCCATCTTTGAGATGGGAAAATCTTCTGGCAGAAAAACTGGTCCTTTGATCTAAGAGTGATGTATAAATGTTGTTTTTGAAACTGCCCGTGTAACAGGTTAAGGTGAAATGAATAGGCACATTTCAGAGTTGGGAGGAACAGTGTTGTCCTCTGTTGCCCTGTCTAAACACGAACTAATTCCATGAGCATTGTGAGAGGAGAAGGGAGCAAGGGAGGGTTAAGAACTATCTTTGGAGTAAATCTTACGGGTTTTGAAAACCTTTTGATTGTGACTGAGGCATGTGAAGACGGAACAGGTGGCCTAGAAGTGGGGTTCAACAGGGAAAAGCTGGATTAGAAGCAAAACAGCTACAGATGCTTGGCTCCTGGGCAGGGGGAAGGTGTTACTGGTGCAGCAACACTCTGAAGAGCACTGGCAGTAGATGTGGGAGGGACATTTCTGAAACATAGCCCAGATGTACGTGTCAGAGAGTGCCAAAAGCTCCAGGGTCTAGAAGTTATGGGGGATGTGTAGATGCTGGGGTGTAATCCAGCGTCAGGTGCTGCTGTGGGAACTTGGTTTCCTTCACCCTTGTTGCCTTTGCTGGAGCGGCAGACGGTGGGTTTGCCAAGGTGGCAGCCAACTCACAACTGATGAAAATGGAGCAGCCCTGGCTTGCAAGGAAGGGTGGAGGCAGCAGCAGGGGGTTGTGCGGTGTGGGGAGCAATGAAGCGTGTCATTTGTCAGTATGAACTGAGAATTTCTCTAAAACCTCAGAAAAAAAAAATAAATTTCAAGGGTGGCTTTTGTCTCTGCTCTTTCTCCCTTGCTCATCATCCTGGAGGAGAAAGGAAACATTTTTCTAATTAATATGAATTAGTATTTAATTAATGCCCGGAGTAAGGAGCCAAGTGTGTTCTGCATTTGCTACTAGTGTGGCAAAAAAGCAGACTTTTTTCCACACTGGACATCAGTCAGTCATTTCGCACCAGCCATCAACTTGGTTGCCAGAGGGCAGCGGTCTCCTGGCAACTGGGTGGGGACCCAGTGGCTCAGGGAGGAGAGCAAAGAGGCTCTGGTTTCTATTCTGAACTGGTTTTGGTTGTCCAGTTCCTCCTTTGTTGTTAGTTGACCTTTCTAAATTTAGCAGAGGAGGAAAAGGGACATAACCCTGCATCACTTCGCTGTCCCCTTGCGAGGATGCACCGAGCCAGACCAGGGACTTTGCTCTGGAGGCTTTCACTGCTCTTACACTCCCCAGCAGGAACATCTCTCTTTTAAGAGCTGAGAAGTGGTGCGAGCACAGGGTCAGTCCCAGGATTCTTCTCTCCCCCCTGCACACCCAGGGAACAGCAACAGTGAAATGGGGAAGTAACTTCTGGGAGAGACTCCGTGATCCTTAAAGCCATGTGGTTTAGAGCCACCAAGCTGGTGAGGGGTCTAGAGAACAAGTCCTGTGAGGAGAGGCTGAGGGAACTGGTCTTGTTTAGTTTGGAGGAGGCTGAGGGGAGACCTCATTGCCCTCTACGACTACCTGAAAGGAGGTTGTAGAGAGGTGGGGGCTGGCCTCTTCTCCCAAGGGAATAATGACAGGACCAAAGGAAATGGTCTAAAGTTGCGGCAGGGGAGGTTTAGATTAGATATTAGGAAGAATTACTTTACTGAGAGGGTGGTCAGGCACTGGAACAGCCTGCCCAGGGAGGTGGTGGAGTCACCATCCCCGGAGGTATTTAAGAAACGTGTAGATGTGGCACTTCAGGGCATGCTCTAGTGCCTGAGACTGTTGGTGTCTTTTCTGTGTGTATGGTTGGACTCAGTGATCTCAGGGGTCCTTTCCAACCACAAAGATTCTGTGGTTATTTCAGCTGGAACCCACACCCAGATAATGCTCCGCTTGGCATGGAGCAGAAGAGGAGTGCTCTTACCATTGGGCTGAGGGGAAGGATGGCTACGCTGAGCAAAGCTGCTCTTCCAGTTCCTGCAAGGATCATGGCTTCACCAGTAAGTGCTGGGGCGGGGGGCAGGCCAGGCCAGAATGGTGGACAGTCACATCTGTGTCCTGCCACCCCACCTTATACCCTCAAGTTCTCTCCTCACTTCAGTGCAAAGACGGGAAGTGAACTCCTCATTTTAGAATGGCTTTGACAGTATTAGCGAGCAGAATATTTCCTTTTAATATGCTTAGAGGACTCTGAAAACAGGAAAAAATAAAGACCAAGCGTTGCTGTTTCTTATATAAAAAAGCTCATCATTTAATAATCTTTACGTGACTCTCTACAAGATAACAAACTGCAATACAGGCTTGCAGCAAAGGTCCTGCTTTTGAAAGCACAAACTATCAACGTAACCGCTAAGCTTCAAAACGCTTTTTCACTTTCTAAGAATATACAGTGGGAAAAAAAAAAAACAAACAAGGAAGTCCAAAAAAACAAAATTCCCAAACTCTAGTATACAACAGGTGCACGTGGATTGCTGTTTGCCAACTGGCGACGGGCTGCAATAGCAGAACTGCCCTTTCTGGACGTTACGCCAGAGCCAAGCCCTGTGGTCCATCCTGGGTCCGTTGAGGTTGTGTTGGCTCCTGATGCCCTTCCAGGAACGTTCCACACACCCTGGGAAGTGATGGGTACCCAAGAGCAGTCTTCCCTCTGAGACACAATACGTTAAGGCTGGGAGGTGTCATACACTGCTGAAGTGGTTGTGTGATCCAAGAGGACAAATCCCATTTCAATAAGGCACGCGCTGGGATACAAACTGGGGAAGAGGGAAGTTGGGCAGAAGCGCCCGTTTCCTAGGAGCTACTGGTCTCCTGGCTGTGTGTCTACCAGCAATCTGCTGAGGCAAACACTCAGACCACATCAACGTGGAACTACCTTGAATCATGGAAGGACAGTAGTGTTTCTGCTTTAAAAACGCCGGAATCACCTGGAATTTACCTGAGCTACGACTCACTTTGAAGCACGGCTTTCAGGTCGAGGGCCGCAGGCAAATGGGCTTCTGTGACTGATTTTTAGGGGCTTCACGAAAGGCAACGAAAACAAATAAGCTTATATGGGTTTTGGAGCAGCCAGCACACGTGAAATTTCTGAAGAAGTCCACCACTCTGCTAACAGTTTTTAAAGCTCTGAATTGAAAATTGCTGGGTGGGATTGAGTGTACTTAGGGATGGAATGGCCCCATTAAAACAGGAGGTCATTTTTGGCAACAGTGTAGTGCAGAAGGAGCGGCGCCTATACAACAGAATTTGGAAAAAAACGTCCAATAGTTGAATGGAAGTCAGAATTGCAATAGGTGCAATTAATTGACGAGAATATGTTCTAGAAAAATAAGTGCTATTGGGGGCTGGCCTCTTCTCCCAAGGGAATAATGACAGGACCAAAGGAAATGGTCTAAAGTTGCGGCAGGGGAGGTTTAGATTAGATATTAGGAAGAATTACTTTACTGAGAGGGTGGTCAGGCACTGGAACAGCCTGCCCAGGGAGGTGGTGGAGTCACCATCCCCGGAGGTATTTAAGAAACGTGTAGATGTGGCACTTCAGGGCATGCTCTAGTGCCTGAGACTGTTGGTGTCTTTTCTGTGTGTATGGTTGGACTCAGTGATCTCAGGGGTCCTTTCCAACCACAAAGATTCTGTGGTTATTTCAGCTGGAACCCACACCCAGATAATGCTCCGCTTGGCATGGAGCAGAAGAGGAGTGCTCTTACCATTGGGCTGAGGGGAAGGATGGCTACGCTGAGCAAAGCTGCTCTTCCAGTTCCTGCAAGGATCATGGCTTCACCAGTAAGTGCTGGGGCGGGGGGCAGGCCAGGCCAGAATGGTGGACAGTCACATCTGTGTCCTGCCACCCCACCTTATACCCTCAAGTTCTCTCCTCACTTCAGTGCAAAGACGGGAAGTGAACTCCTCATTTTAGAATGGCTTTGACAGTATTAGCGAGCAGAATATTTCCTTTTAATATGCTTAGAGGACTCTGAAAACAGGAAAAAATAAAGACCAAGCGTTGCTGTTTCTTATATAAAAAAGCTCATCATTTAATAATCTTTACGTGACTCTCTACAAGATAACAAACTGCAATACAGGCTTGCAGCAAAGGTCCTGCTTTTGAAAGCACAAACTATCAACGTAACCGCTAAGCTTCAAAACGCTTTTTCACTTTCTAAGAATATACAGTGGGAAAAAAAAAAACCAGACAAGGAAGTCCAAAAAAACAAAATTCCCAAACTCTAGTATACAACAGGTGCACGTGGATTGCTGTTTGCCAACTGGCGACGGGCTGCAATAGCAGAACTGCCCTTTCTGGACGTTACGCCAGAGCCAAGCCCTGTGGTCCATCCTGGGTCCGTTGAGGTTGTGTTGGCTCCTGATGCCCTTCCAGGAACGTTCCACACACCCTGGGAAGTGATGGGTACCCAAGAGCAGTCTTCCCTCTGAGACACAATACGTTAAGGCTGGGAGGTGTCATACACTGCTGAAGTGGTTGTGTGATCCAAGAGGACAAATCCCATTTCAATAAGGCACGCGCTGGGATACAAACTGGGGAAGAGGGAAGTTGGGCAGAAGCGCCCGTTTCCTAGGAGCTACTGGTCTCCTGGCTGTGTGTCTACCAGCAATCTGCTGAGGCAAACACTCAGACCACATCAACGTGGAACTACCTTGAATCATGGAAGGACAGTAGTGTTTCTGCTTTAAAAACGCCGGAATCACCTGGAATTTACCTGAGCTACGACTCACTTTGAAGCACGGCTTTCAGGTCGAGGGCCGCAGGCAAATGGGCTTCTGTGACTGATTTTTAGGGGCTTCACGAAAGGCAACGAAAACAAATAAGCTTATATGGGTTTTGGAGCAGCCAGCACACGTGAAATTTCTGAAGAAGTCCACCACTCTGCTAACAGTTTTTAAAGCTCTGAATTGAAAATTGCTGGGTGGGATTGAGTGTACTTAGGGATGGAATGGCCCCATTAAAACAGGAGGTCATTTTTGGCAACAGTGTAGTGCAGAAGGAGCGGCGCCTATACAACAGAATTTGGAAAAAAACGTCCAATAGTTGAATGGAAGTCAGAATTGCAATAGGTGCAATTAATTGACGAGAATATGTTCTAGAAAAATAAGTGCTATTTCTTCCGTGAAATTGTGTATATACTAAAGAGATGTTTAAATATCTGTTCTTTCCAATTAAGCTGTTTTCTTTCCATACAAATTACAATTTGTATGTTAATCCTCTGGAGGGGACTGTTATTTTGAGACACTGCTCATCTGCAGCCCCAAAGACGGGCCCAGTGGATCCTGGGATGCTCTTGGGACAACTGTGAGTCCATGGCTTGAAAGTCTAAGGCTTTCAAGCAGACTGTTAAATTTAATTGCCAAAGCAAAGACATTCAAGGTAAACATGTATGAATTTCCATGGCTGGGAATCTGTCCATGTTTTGAAATCCCATGTTGCACAGTTACTAGAAACGGCAAAATTTGAATGCCTTAAGATATTAAATATATACAATTCTGCCTTCCTCCTTAGAAGGTTCTTTTTCTTATACAACCTAAAAATGCATTTCTCCCAGATGCTGTACGCCTTGCTCGACGTGTTGCTTGTTGGGGCTGCACACACAGGCTCGTCAGACTGACGGAATGCTGTACGTAACGAAGGAACATCAAGAGGAGACTTAAATTTCACACCATTAACCTATAGAAAGTAATTTCTAAGAAGGGAATGGAGTTCTATGAGAACCATTACACTTGCTTCGTGGATTGCTACAAGTAGGTTTCACAACCAAGTCCATGTGCCAAAATCAAGGCGGAATGAAACAAGAAGAGTGCAGCATCCAGTTAACAAATATTCTGAGGAAAGGGGCAGTATATACAAAAGATAGGCACTGCTTACCCGATGCATCATTTTTAAGGTGCTTAATTGCTGTTTTAGGGAATGTAGCAACATATACATATATGCAGTGTATACAAATCTAAATGTGTATGAGAAACATAATACAGAACCACATATATTCCCATATCCCTGATTTCATCAGATTCTCTAACGCAAAAGATGTATTTAAAATATTTCATTAAAAATATCTAAAAAACCAATAATTATAATGATAACATTTACACAAAAATAGTTCCAGTTTGTTTGCTCTTCTGTTTTGGCTGCTCACGCGTTGGCTTCCGCTGGGCTTTCATAAGGAGGCCATTTGGACCAGGGAGAGTTTGAACAACTGTGCGTGACGGGACAGCTCCGTCACTCGGTCCACCATCTTCTGCAGGGCTGCTGTGCTGGGGTAGTGCACAGCGGCCGCCTTGGTGGCCACAACGATGCTCTTCAGCAGCTCGCACAGCTGGTTGCTGGAGTTCATCACTTTGTTGCGTATGTCCTGCGTGGCCACTTGCCTCGCCAGCACGTCCCCGATGAACACCAGTTTGTGAGCACTCAATATGACACATTTGCTGTGAGCCACGAAGATTCGGGGGGGCTGAGAAGCGTTGACGCACCCGAAGAAGGCGTCGATGGCGTTGAGGAGGAAGTTGAAGTGAGTCTCAAACTGGTCGGAATAGAATAGAAGCAGCTGGCTGTCACAGGAGGTGGTGGTGCTGTTTGCAGGCTGGAGAGCTTGAGGTGGCTTCCATTTGGAGATGTCGTTCTCTACTGGCTTTGTGATCTCTTGCTCCAGACGTTGAAACTGGTTGATCTGAAAGGCAAATGAAAAGGCTCTCTTGAAAGAATATTCTCATAAGACATTGTTATGTATTACAATTTCACCGTATGCCTCAGGACACCCCTGGGTATCCCTGATGAACTTATGCCAAATAAAAAGCAGCATATATGTTGTCTAAGGTCCTTCATTTTAGAGAGTGAGGGGTAATCAAGTGCTTTGGTTACCACAAATCCAAATACACAGAGTTCAGAAGAGGAAAAACTTCTGAAATACTTTATTTGCATTAAAAAAACCCACAAACCATCCCACTCCTGAATTTACAGGCTGTTGCTCATTTGGCATATTCTGAAATCCCAAGTGAGAGCGATGGATCCAAGTAGCAATGACTCCTACACAATCTTTAAAAAGCTGCCATCTCTGTGGGATTTTGAGATGACAACCCTTTAACTCTCATCTCTGCATAGCTCGTACAATTTTCTGCCATATGATATGGCAACAACTTATTGAAGAATTAATATGAGGGCAAAGTGACAGCCCTTAATCTTATACGACCTACTTTTTTAGCATTTACAGTGATGCTAAGCACAGTATTTATGTTAATGGTATTGATGTTCCCTGAACAGAAGTGCAGGTGACACGTGTCGTGTATTCAGTGTGGTCCCAGTGATTTAGGCACTGGATTACAGGTCAGGAAAGCCAAGTTCTCAAGCTGGCTTTGTGACTGACCCACTGTGAGACGCTGCAGAAGTCTGTTTCTCCTCTGTGGTAAACTTTTGGAGACAGAGACTGCTTTTTATTATATGTAAGCACTGGGTACACCACAGCGGTGCACTGTTATTAAAAAAAATAATTAGTCTCTTAAATTGAGATGGTTGGAAATTGTTTCCCAGGGAAAGGCTTGTTCCTGCCACAAGAGATGATGTTCTAAACATGGAGAGCTGTGGCTGTGCTTCCACTCAGTTACGAAGTGGCAACAAGGAAATGAACAGGCCAGAGATGCTGACCTTCGGAACAGCTGCTCTGCAGTAAATATTTAAGATTCCTTTGGCATAAGCAATCACCGACAAAGATGCACAGGGCCAGGAAGGTGCTAAAATCTTGATGCTCACCATCTCCCATTTGGAGCATGCCCTTGTCCTTTGCGTTGATAAATCCATTAATGGTGGAGCCTGGCTGACACAAATCCCACTTGGAGAGAAACTAGCCTGGAGCTGCTGATCAGCCAACACCTAGAACCTGCTGTTCCTGTCCTCACCATCTAGCACCTGGGACTTGCCAACTGTGTGTGCTGGCACTCATGCACGCCTCACAGCCACGACGCCAGCAGCTGCACACTGCTAAGGGAAGGGCCCTCCTGCTTTATTTGACTAGTACTCTTTATGTGCAAGGAACACTGCATTTCAATACGATTATTGCACCCGAGCAAACATACCTGGTGGTGCTCTAGCTCCGTTTTGCTCTGCTTGATGATATTTTCCTTTTCCAGCAGCTCTTTCTGTTGCCTTTCAAATTCTTCTTTCCCCTGTTTTGCATAACATAAGACAACGGGTTAAATCAAAACTGCTTCTGAGCTAAATGACAACTCATAGGTCAAATAACAGGCTGCTTTGTACTGGCTTTTTCACTGGTAGTGCACCACTAAGAGAACAGAGAAGAAAAGGATAGTGTGGCAGAGCAAAAAGCTATTGTTAGTATGTATGCAACGGTCCTATCTGAGAGGAAGTAACCACCTCGGTGAAATCACTCAAGTATGTATTATTGTGACAATTTTATTACTACTTCCCTGCAAACACATTCTGCAAAACCCACAGGTAACTTTAATTTGGCATTGTGCATTGTGTTGGGTTTACGTACCTGCAGGTGAACATAATCGTAGTCATCCATCCAGCTCTTCTCCGAGCTGTCACTGGTGGTATTGTGAGGGTGCTGACCTTTACTTAGGAGTGGAGGAAAGGAACTGCAATGGTTCTGTGCTTTTTCTCCATGATGCTGCATGTGGGGATTGTCATATACACAGTCAGGAGCGTTCATGATATTCTCTGGTACGTTTTTGAAACGTGAGCTGCTCAATGCCTGTTTGAAGAGCACCTCTGCGTTGACGCTGATGGTAGTGGTCAGTTGCTTGGCATCGTCCGGGACTGTCCTTGCCACCATAACAAACCGATCCAGGTCATCACACTTGTTCTGCGGTCTGTTGACAGCTAGAACATTCAAAGACCAGTTGTAGCTGCTCAAGTCATGACTGGTTTGGGTAAGGATCTGGTGAGAGTCCTCCAGCCTTTGCACCTCCCTCCTCATTTTGTTAAGGAGGCCTAACTCAGGTAGGCAGGAAGCATTGGCTGCTGATCCTCTCGCAAACTGGAGGTACTCCACCAGCGACTGCTCTACCTTATCCACAGCAGCGTGAATCGCGTTGAGATGTTTCTCCATATACCCATAAGACCGCCAGTCGGTTGTAATGAAGGCCATGAGGTTATTGACAGCTGTCTCCACCATCTGCTGGAGGTGATAAAGCCTCTCTATAGCAGTGTCTGGATCAAGCATTAGTCTTTTGTCCTGTGCAGTTGATGCTGACAAAGAAGAGTCTTTTGACGTTGTTGAAGATGTAGACATGTTACTCCTTGTGCTTCCTGTGCTGGAGAAAGACAACCTATTCATCCCATCAGTCACATCCTGTAAGCCTTTAGTGTCTTGGAGGACTGATGGTGGCACATCATATACACCTTCTTTTCCTTCCGGGATGAGATTTTCGCTGAGTCCTGTCTGTTGTCCTGGGAATGCAAGTCCCCTTGGGGTATCATAAACGTCTTTTTGAGGTGCAATTTGCTGTCCAAGAAAATGGTTTTGATGATTCATAGGGAAAACATTCTGTTTCTGTGGTGCTCCATCCGACAATAAAAGGCTCTCAGGAGGAAATTTATTAAGTTCTTTCCCAGTTGCTTTGGTGATAGGAGGAGGAATATCATATACTCCTTCTGGTCTTACACTGTGGCCCACTGGAAACGAAAAATCCTGCAGATTTTCCCTCAGGCCTGTATCTCGGCACGCAGATGGAGGCGTAGCATAGACCTGAATGAAAACAAACCATGAAACCTTTGGCTAGAATAGCAAAATATTTTACATCTTCTATATGACCTATAAAATACTGGGATGGAAGATCTGCTATTGACTTTCATGGAGTCAGCTACTTACCCTGACTTTGACTGACTTGGTTTTAATATCTCACTTTTTAACAGTCATCTCAATGCAAATTCTCATAACCAGTAAAATCCAAGAAGGCAGCGTGCTGCCACAAAGATAATGTAGGCCTAATTCTCAATTCACACTCCACAACATCAGTAATTTTGATGCAGTGCGTCACTTTATCAGTTTTAACATTTTAAAAACCTAAGGAAATCTTTTAAGTACTGGATTTCCTTTTCCTTCAGTATCATACATGAACTCATTTAAGCATGTCTTTGGTCAGACATGAAAATACAGGATCTTGTGGGAAGAGGGTAATACTTACCCCTTTGGCAGGTGGAATGTCATAGACTCCTAAAGCTTTTGCTTCTCCCATGGGAACTGGATTCACAGGCCCCTTAACCGATGTGGGGGGAATGTCATATATCTAAAGAAAGAATAAATTGGTTATAGAAACAAGTCAGCTCAGGAAAGCTCTGATCTCAGATGAGTTTTCTTGGTTTCCATGTTTCCTCTCAGCCTGAAGATGATCAGAGAGACCTCTTCAACTCTGTTTCATATGGCAGAGCTGTTGGATTTGCCTGGGATTTTTGACCGTTCGGAGGAAATGCACTTTGCTAAGCCCCCTCTGGGCAACTGTGTGGACAGCAGGTCAGGGAGATGAAGTCATGGCTGACTTCCACGCCCAGAGTTAAATCAAGGCCAGTCTATTACAGATACCTGCTGAGGTGAACAGGGGAGAAGTATATTCATGTGGCCAGAACCGATAACAACCTTACTGACAGAGATTAGAGGGGCTGAGGAGTAAGCTTGTACTAGGATCCACAAAAGTCTCTGAAACTGATGCTGCCCCTGTCAGCATCAGCTATCTGCTTTATCAGGTGCAGTGTGAGTTGTCTTACTAGCAGAGAGTACAGCTGTCAGATGTTTCAAGTGTCCCTCTTGGTGACATGTCCTACATTGCAGTGGGCTCTGCGTGTGGTCTGGGGCCACTGTCTGAATGTGTCTTAACCCAGACTTCCCAACAGTTGCAGCCATTCCGTGTCAGTCTGTGTTATGTACTATTGAGCTTCGGTGTAGTTCCCTAGAGAAGTTGCTTTGTCAAAGAGCCACAGAGAGATGCAGGGTTGGTGAATTTCAGGTCCTGCAAGCATCCGTTCTAGATGTCTGTGGTCTTGAGGAATGAATGTTAAGGGTGTTCCCCAGAACAACGATGTATTTCAAGTTCAGTGACGTGGTGCATTAGATATGTGGTGAAAACAACTCCCTGCATAGTAGCTGTTCATCTAGGCAATAATTTTACCCTTACTGAGTGAATTACTGTCAACTATGCAACAACAAAGGAAGGGAAAAAAATTGTTCCCAGGCAGCTAGTTTATTCTGTTTAGATACACTCTTTGATCAAAACACAGAAAACAAATGGGACTTTTGCGTCTGGTGTGCTGCCAAATCTTAGTCAACATCAAATACAACTTTGAAATACTTGTGCACTCTGTGAATAAGCCACAGCATCTAATTAAAACATTTTTTCTCTCTGAAATGAGAGAACTTGCTTTGCTTGTAAACTTCTGGTAGGAATTCACCACCTTTTGTGCTCTGTCAGTGCTGTTGGCAGTTTTATTGGTACCTACCCCTTGGAGAGGGCGAACAGGGGGGATATCGTAGGTATCCTTCTGGTGTTTGGAAGGGAATTCATAAACATAACCTTGTCCTGACCTGACTGGAGTTATTACCTATGGGATAAAAGAAGAAGAGGAAACATAAGTCTCTGAGGATCTTGGCATGTTCTGTCTGTAACTGCACAGGGTATAAACAATCCGGTACTATTAACATTCATGCTTTATGTGGTAATGTTAGTAACATAAGTCTACATATAATTCTGAAAGTTGACCACCACAAAATAACTATTAGTAGCTACAAACGCACCATCTTTTCCTTCCAGACCAGCTGTGACATGACTGCTTCCTAGCGCTACAGTATCTTCTGTTTGTCAAGCACAGATTCTCCTGCACATCTAAGAAATCTTGGTCCCTTCTTCCCACTGACCACCCATTAGCACGAACCACACGAGGTGATGGTGACACCATCCACTCACTGAGATCAGGGCTACAGACACTGTGCTCCATAGCACAACATCCTGGATAACTGAGCGTGAGATGTGGCTTGGAAATTCTTTACATAGAAAGGCTATGCTTAAACCTTCCAAAGTGGGACATCAATTTTGCTTTCTCCACTTGGTTTGTCTATATTAGCAGCTAAGAGATAGGAAACGTTAAGCCATTCTTGAAGTATATAATGCAAGAACAGCCTCTGGGAAAGAAAGAAAGAAAAAAAAAAGCTTAGAATTTACATTTTTTTGACATTTTCTAAACCATTAACTACCATAATGACTTCAAATAAAATTTGGTGAAAAATAAATGCCTATGTCTTGGACAGCATGTGCATGGCAGAATTTCAATATAGTGTGGTATAAAAGAAATGTTACTTATCCCCAAGAAAGATCTGGGTTTATAGTGGAAATGCTGACATCTTAACCTCTGCTGGTGCTATGTAGCTCTAACAAAAAATACAAACGCTGTAATCCAAAGGCATAAAATAGCAAATTACATAGGCCTGTACAAGATGTGCTTTGTACTCAGCTAGGGAGAATTCTGTACCAGAGCTACCTAACTGTCTCCAGAAATGTATGCAAGACGTACAACAGCGTTTCTTCCCAAATACTCAGTAAAGATCCCATAACAGTTTTTGCTGCAAGGAATCCTAGCGTCCTGGCCAGACTTCACAGTGAGTTTTGCCTGACTGAGCTCTGCAGGCAAAGTCCCTGCTGCTGACCTGCTATCTCCTCTCTCCAATGTGAACAACATGGGCTTTTCTTCTTTTTACTTGCTGCCCAAATAGTGTTGTGTAACCTCTGGCTCTGTACCAGCACACCATCACTGGATTTTCCCCCTGAGGTGACTGCAGGTCTGACTCAACCTGAGTATCCCAAGGCAGTGCCTGGTAGTGCCAGCCGCTGCACCGCCTGCCTGTGCCTTAAGGTGAGGGAGGAATACCCGTGCCCGGCAGGCAGGGGGGAAGACAGCAGGTTTTGCAGCTGCTTTTCCTTGAATTAGCATCAGAGGACAGGAACTGGAAGTGAGTTTCCAGAGCGCTGTGCCAGTTTGCTGCTTGGGAGAAAACTCCTTGGGTGGGGGGTTAAACAGGGCTTACATACATAAGAGGTTTTTAAAAAGAATCTAAAAAAGTATGGAATATATGACAGATCATTTCCCTCCTGCACAGCCACCTACTGCATTGTAAAAGGTGTCTACAGACAAAACTTTTAAGAAAGATCTCCCTTAAATTACTAGAAGCTTCCCATATTGGACCACTCCAGACGTTACCCCTCCCAGGACACCCACATGTAATACTGGGCTTATTTTGTTTGCCTGAGAAACTTCTAACTTGTAGTAACGTCGCTTCCTCATGCTTTTTCTGCCAGCAAGGCCTAGTGAGCAGACTAGCACAGTTTCCCATAGATTTTTTGCAGCCTTTTTTTTTTTTTTCTTTCAGTTGGGTGCTGTCATTCAAATGCTTTCCACTCAAGTCAGGAACAGAAGGATTTGGTTTTAAGCAATATTTACTCAGAAGTTCTTTCCAGGGGCTCCAAAATTACAACCATGGCATTGCTTCAATAATGAGTCACTGGGTGTTTGAAAATGATCCTCTGGGAGAACAGACAATGCACAGCAAAAACAAAGGGCTGTTTCCTGGGTAGCCCATCTCCACGAACCCTTCTGCTGCTGTGAACACTGTGGCATTAGGCTGCTTTCTAAAATGCTGGGAAACTGCTTGACCATGCACAGTAAAAATCCCAGACTGATCGTGGTGGTCAGCCAGAAGTCCCAAACCAGCCCTGGAGGCGGGGAGGACCAGTGCACTGCTGCAGTTCAGTTCTGCTTATACCTGCTGATTGTTGTCCACCTGGACAAGGTGGGAGTCAGGCTGCATCAGGCTCCAAAAAGGAGTACCTGAGGGACAGGTAATAGTCCCTCAGCCTGAAATTTTTAAAAACTCTTGCTCAGTTTTGGTCTACTCCAGAAACTGAACTCTATCCTAGATCCAGAGCAGGAGTAAAATTTGACCAGATCTCCTCAAGGCATCAGATGTGTGATGCTTCTTAAGAGTCATGCCCATGGAGGTAATGCATGGCACCTCTGCAGAAGCTTTATGACACTTCAGTTCTTCAAGGTTTGCACAGCACTTTAGATAAGCACCTTTACACAGGCTCAGCACTAACTGTCCTACCCATCTTGTGCTGAAACTCGTTCAGGATACAAGACACCACCACTCCCTCCTTGCTCAGAGAATTAATTTCCATGAGCAAACTCAAAGAAAACTCCCAGGCCTCTAATAAAAAAAAGGAGCTGATCCAAGCAGCTCAGGTAATAAGGAAAGAATCACAGAAGGTTGGAAAAGACCTTTAAGATCATCAAGTCCAACTGTAAACCTCGTGCTGCCAAGTCCACCATGAAACCATGTTCCTAAGCACACACAAGTAAAATATGAAATGCCGAAAGCACTACAAGACTGATGTTTTTATTTACTGGGCTGTGATACAATCCTAAATAACTACACTGAAACTGGACTGGCCAGATGAAGGAAGCGAGTTTCACCCAAGCGCCGCAGGACTTTTTAAACCATGTATCTTGGTTATTTTTGCTCCTTCCCAGACTTGACTAATCCAAAGCAGTGGTCATGCAGGGTCACCCCTTTATTTGGGTGAAACAAATCCTCGCTCTGGGTGCATCCAGATGTTGTCAAAGGAAGTGAGAGGTTAAAACACGAAGTGCCTGATTCTGGATATTCATGAGTACTGCCTGCCTACACAGGTGCCTGCCAGACAGAAGACAGAAGCTGCCTGCAGGGCTGTGCTTAGCAGTGCACTCTACTTAAGGTGGCATTTATTTTCCAAATAAAAATGCATCAGAGGCTTTTATATCTGCTCCTTTTCAGGCTTCTGAAAAAGCTATATGAAAGACAGAAAGTGAAACCCAGCAACAACCAAAGTCTGTTGGTAACATGAAAGACAACTTTTTTCTCCCGTTGACTCAGGTGTATTTTCCTGTGTGAAGGATTATTATCCAGTAACAACATGTTCTGGGAGATTTCATCATAAAATCCTCTACAAATGCTGATCTAGTCTGCACTGAGTACAAGAACATTTCCTGTTGTAGCTACACTCCTCTTCCTTTCCAACACTTTTCATAATGTGTCTCTGGACTGCTCGTTCCTACTCAATTCAGAGCAGAAGCAGCTCATCAACAAAACATATCTTGAGTGAACATTTTGTAAAAGTAATTAAAAGAATGCTCACGCGACCTGAAAAAGTGAAAATGTGGAGCATTTGTTCTGACTCTTATGTCCCCAAGACAGGATTTTACACAGGAGGCCAGGACATGTGGTCACACTGCTGCTTCTGTACAAGGAAGAGGGAGGTAGCTGGGCAGGTGAACTAAGAAAGGTACCAAACTCAGTATTTTCAGAAGTAACTTTTGATTTTGAATATTAAGCCATAAATATATTAAATGAACTTGCTGCTTCTGAATGGGATGCTCAGCCCCTTCAATGCATTCTTGAACCATTTTTTATGGTTTTGAATGTTTGATGGAAATTTACTTTTGAAGCTGGGCTTCAGCAGGAAGAAGGTGGCTGCAAAAGAAAAGTTCCCCTTCTCCCACTCTCTAACAGGGATATCAGCCCCATCTGGTACTTAGGAATTTATTTCCTAACAGATGTCACTGAACTTTAGACCTCGTGAAGATTCTCTTTTTCATTTACCTCTTCTCTTTTAAGAATGCCTGTGGTCACGCATGTTTAAGTAATCCTGCACTTCAAACCAGCAATTTTCCTTGTTTACGTGTTAAAGGAAATAGATGGTGTTCCCACAAACTATCTAGGCCAACGTTCTCAAAACATTGTTAACCACCTAATCCAGGCAGAGCAACTAACAGGGAGCAGTTTTGGCTTTGGTGAAACATGTAATGAGCCTACTTCAAACTTTCAGTACTGCAAAACAAAGACAATTGAGCAGAAAGTTTGTTCTGCTCTTCCTGAGGACCATGGTCTTCCAACAGCAATTACTTGGGTCTTTTCCATGCCAATGGCATGTTCCTAACCAAGAAAAAGAGCTGAATATGCATGTACTTTCCAAAATATCCAGTCCTGTGGTTCATTAAATCCCTCTTCCTTAAATATGTGGAAAAAAACACCATTCTATTTCTTCCAGGATTAAAATGGATGTTAGGCTGCAACAGAGAACATTCCTAACAATGGCAGCAACAAGACAGTTCTTGTGCTTATGGCAAATGCACAACGCTGTCATTATGGCAGATGTAGTTTAGATTGTTTAACAAGGACAGAGAGTGAATAAACCTACTGAAGTCAACAGAATTACTCTGAATCTACAGCAACACTGTGGAAGGCAGAATTCAGCCTGTTTCCATGAACAGCAATTCCTGATAGGCAGACTGACGGGAAACAAGCTTTGCTGAGTTTTATGGGTGAAAGAACTGAAGCAGAGCTGTGCTGCACCTCTGCAACGCCTCACCCCAAACCACAGGAGCTGAAAAGGGCTGCTTGCCATTTCCCAGCATGGCCTCTTAGCCCCAAGAACGTACTGACGCCTGCTGACTGCTTTTAACATACATCAGTGCTTTTTGGAGGTGGAAAACAAGGGGCACATAGGGCAAAT